ACCCCCCCCCCCCCGCAACCCCATTCACAGGAAACTCAACCTCTATCCTACGAAATGAACCATTTCTGCCCAGAGATATTCAATATGGAGTTCGGTTCCTTCACCAAAATCGCGCATTACTCTTGCCTGTAAGCTTCCTTCCGGTTCTTTAACCTCTTGCTCTTTATCGTTCGAAAAGATCTCTTCTCGAGGGAACGTCTTTGCGTAAATCACACCTATCTCTTTTCGATGCAAGGGGTTAAAGTAAATCCAACTCCACTAACACGTTGGGTAGCGAAAATTTAATGTACAGGGTGGAACACGTAAAACAGGTCGTTTGATTGTCTCCTCCAGTTATAGTCGTACGAGAAAATTTTTTTGTGTAATTTAAATGGTTTCAAAGGGTGAATAAGATGGAAGAGAATTTTTTTTCTATTTTCTTTAAAGTCACCTGTGTTTTTATACGAATGTTATATTGACGTGCATTTGAACACGCCTAATAGTGTGACCTTAAAATGACCTTGGGCTCCAAAATTTCCAATCAAATGTGAGAAACTTGGGCTCCAAAATTTCCAATCAAATGTGAGAAACTTGGGCACCAGAATTTCCAATCAAATGTGAGAAACTTGGGCACCAGAATTTCCAATTCAATTTGAGAAACTTTCTTTCATATTTTGCTATTTTTTCCATTTTACTCACCCTTCGAAACCATTTAAATAACGAATGAAAACAGTCTCGCGTCACCGCAGCTAGAAAAGACAATTAACGGCGAACCCAGCGTTTCCCAGAATCGAATCGTACATCATTTTTCGCATACACACAATTCTGTACACCAGTCTGAGCTGTTTGATTTATGTTCGCAGAAAAAGAACGAATAACAGGGAACAATCCATGCGGTGATACATTGCTCAACGTGTTAACGATCACCAAGAGCAACACGCACAGCACGATGTTGCCTTCTTAAGATTTCAACGACACTTTATACAACCGAGTTAATATTCCACGCACTGTTACATACACACGCCCGCATACTCATAGATATACATACAGACACAACCACGCTGCATTATACACACATACCATGCGACTAGACGTAGGAGACGCGCGTGCACCGACGCCAGGCGCCGCATCGATCCCTCATGTGCACATTGTTGTTGCCTCTCGAGCCTCGTGCAGCTAGAATTCTAAAAGTAGAACCGTCTCGACCGGTCTCCACCACGTCTACACGGGCGGAAATAACGGAACTATCACGGATATACCATTCACCGAAGAATCGAGCTGTCTCAACCTTTCCAACACTCGCTCTCTGCATCTCTTCTCTTCTCCTAACCGAAACCGAGACAATTCGAAACTTCTCCAACTCGTCTATACATACATACGTGTATAATCCATCTCTGTGTACGATCCCACTCTGAAACGATCCCCGCGAGGACGATCGTCTCGACCCCGAGCGTCGCGACTTTCAACCCCCTTAACACTCGACACACGCCTCCGTGGAATCCGATTTCCTCTGACCTTAATTCTTTCGCCAGGCTCATCGAGGCACAGAGACGTTAGCCTCGATTTTTCTCGTTCCTGTAAATCGGTATAGAGAAAGAACGCGTACGTAACCCTAGCCCTAAATACACCACGCGGAAACGATATTTTTCTCCACGGAGGTGACGTCTCCAATTCGCGGGGATCCGTAGAGTGTGTTGACTTACATCGTGGATTACTTACTTTCCTCGCCATTTCCCCGCTTCTGTCCATTATTTTTCACCGCTCACAAAAGCCTACGTTCTGCGAAAACTACGAGCCACTCGAGACACGCTTTTCCGCCCCGCTTTTGTCGCTTGTAATCGTCTTTCAGCTGCGTTCGAGCCGTGAGCAGAGAGAGAGAGAGAGAAAGAGAGAGAAGAGTGTGGTTCTCTTGCAGGTACAAGACCTCTAAGGTGGAAAAAAGAGAACGCTAATTACGACTGTATTTTGGTAAGGAGCAAGAAGACGCCTGGCTGCTGGGGTTCGATGTGCGTGGATGTTATAAGAGATCTCTCCTCAACTTCTACTTGTCTCTCCACTCTTCTGCTTCTCTTTCTTATAGGGAAATATCAAAGCTTCGATTCTCTCTCTTTCTTCTTTTTCTTCTTCTTCTGTCACGTGAAACGGTACGTACGATGTAGCACATCCAGCATCCGCTTGCTCTCTCTCTCTGTTTGTGTGTCTGTGTAAGCTTCTCGAGAAACCTAAGTCGCCTCCTACGTTCGTAAGTTCGTTTCCCCGGAGTGTGCACACCGCCGCGCACACTCTCGACCGTCGACTTAATTGCCTCCGTTATCAGAAATCGATTTCCGGCGACGAACGAAGCCTCGAGCGTTACGACCACTCGAAACTTCCTCGAACCGTGAGAAATTAATGTTGAGATAGACGGAGACAGGAGGGAAATCTATATATACGACGAAAATACTCGTGAAGTCGAATCGATGATTCGTGATGTTTCTGGAGAAGTTTCCGGTGTCTCCGTGGAGAAGAAGATGAGAAAAAGACGGTCGAGAGTGTGTGTGAGAGTTGTGCGATCCCACGAAGGGAATATCGAGGGGAACGACGAGGTTTAATGTGAAGAGTGTGTGTGTGAGAGTTGTGCGATCCCACGAAGGGAATATCGAGGGGAACGACGAGGTTTAATGTGTTTCGATGTTCATTTCAGGGCCGACTCTGGAGCCGCCGTTGCCCAGGCGAAAGAAATGCCCGGAACTTGCGTACAAGACGCACGAATTCATCACGGCAGCCGATGGTGGTGGCATCGACGCCGTCGATTCGAACGTTGTAGCTGACAAGGTTCGGGTACGTTTCATGAAGATAACCTTCCAACTGTCTCAGATGCTATTTCCTCTCTCGGAGGAATCGAACGTTTGTTTAATCAAGAGAAGAGAGTAAAAAATTGTCGCAAGTTTCGTCCAACGTGTACCAGATGAATTTTCTCAAGTTCTCTGTCAACAAGTGCTCGTCATCGAGTTCCACGTACTAGTTGCTTGACCCGTTTCTACGGATGCACACTGTCCCCGACCACTTCTCGCGCACCAGTACACTTTTCTTACGCACGTATCCATAGTGACGTTGGTTAAATGAATTCTCACGAGGAGTGGCTCAATTATGAAGTAAGAAGCCGTTTCTCTCTTGTACGACCTTTATTGTTAAGTGTTTTTCGCGTGGTACATTTAGCTTGATGGTGTACGACACAACGCTGAGGTAACTGTTATGTCACTCTAAGAACTATGAAACGAGACTTGTAATTTTAAGTCTGTCTTCAATACTCCATTTCCATCACTCTAACTCTATCTACAATATTTCTGCTCTTACCGATTTTCAACGCTCCATCTCTAACTCTTCGATTCTATCGATAGCAGTCCATTTCGAACACTGATGACTCTCAGAGCACTTCAATTCTATCTGCAACTAACACTCTATCTCCGACACTTCGATTCTGTTTACAACACTCTGACTCTAGACCATGGAGAAAGGTTCTGATCGATGAATAGGCGAACGCTTTTACGTTACTACATATTTTAAGATGTTTCTTTTAGAAAATGGGTAAGAAGAAGAAAAATTTGATGTTTACAGGAAGTTACAGCGCAGTCAGGCCTGCCACCTAGTCAACTGAGCAAAGCGATCTCGCGGATCAGCACCGAGTATCGGCTTCAATTCGCCTGGCCTAAACGACCCCAGCTGACCAATGGGGAGACCGTGGCGCCTGGAGTGACGGCTGCAGGACTTCCAGCAGGTACGACAGGACCACCTAGAAAATCTCTCAGCATGGGAGCTCTTAAGCAGGGTATCGCTCCCACAGGACCCGCTCCAGTTCACAAGAAACGACCCGGGGATGTCGATCACAAGCGCGACGGTAAATCAACGAACACTTTGACAAATTACTTTCACCTCTGTCCATTACGATATCTAGTATAGTTTTCGATTCGTTCGAACTCGTGAAAATTAGCCAATTCTCAAAAGTTACTAAGGAATTGCATTTCTTTTTTGGCGATTAACAGTTCTTTTCTTCTGTCCATCATGATCTCCTATCATATTCGATCCTTTGGAACTCGTGAAAATTGGCTAATTCTCAAAAGTTACTAAGGAATTGCATTTCTTTTTTGGTGATTAACAGTTCTTTCCCTCTGTCCATCACGATCTCCTCTCTCCTACAGAGAGATCATTTTCGATCCTTTGGAACTCGTGAAAATTGGCTAATTCTCAAAAGTTACGAAGGAATTGCATTTCTTTTTTGGCGATTAACAGTTCTTTCCCTCTGTCCGTCACGATCTCCTCTCTCCTACAGAGAGATCATTTTCGATCCTTTGGAACTCGTGAAAATTGGCCAATTCTCAAAAGTAACGAAGGAATTGCATTTCGTTTATTAAAAGATTCTCCTCTTCTTTTTGGCGATTAACAGTTCTTTCCCTCTGTCCATCACGATCTCCTCTCTCCCACAGAGAGATCATTTTCGATCCTTTCGAACTCGTGAAAATTGGCCAATTCTGAAAAGTAACGAAGGAATTGCATTTCGTTTATTAAAAGATTCTTCTCTTTTTTTGGCGATTAACAGGGATGCAGGCATCGGAGCTGGAACCCCTGGTCGGAGGAACTGGAACGGACACCATCGACGGAGTTGTGCCGGAGGGCGACGAGCGCGAAGAGGACATGTCGGACTTGAAAGTAACTTTCAGGTCAGAGATTCAAGACGACATTATAATTCGACCTAGCTAAGCCCAATGTACAAGCGTGTGTGTGTACGCATGTGTGTATATACAGCGTGCGTGTGAATATGCAGAAATCAGAGAGGATGTATACGCGTGACGAAAGGAAAAGGGAAGAACGAGAAAGCACCTACGACGTTTTTCTAGGGGAGGGACGAGAAAAAAGAAAAAGAAAGAAAGAAAGCCGGTGTGACGTTTCTCTCACCTTTTTTGTACTCTTTACACGCGTGTGAAAAAAAAAAAAAACACAGATCGTCGAAGGGATTGAACACTTTCCACCCTACAACCACGATTGATTCTTTGCAGGGGTAAAAAGTCAGGTAGGACCGTAAGGATAATGGATGATAAAGGGCTGAGCAAACCGAAGGAGAAACCGTTTCCCACTTCAGAAGTGATCGAGCTTAGGCGACTCGCTGACGAGTACAAGGTAATTCTAAGGGAACAAAGATGTACGATCATTTCATTCTTCCTTCCACTCTACCATTACACGAACAAGTATACATATATACATATATCGTTCTTCGAGTGTAGATTGGAAACGGTATTTCCTACACTTTTCTCTCGGCAACACTCTCTCTCTCTCTCTCTCTCTCTCGAGTGTCTTCTCTCCACAGACTTCATCCATAGTTAGTGTACATATGTGCCTTTGTAAATATTCCAAGTTTCCATACGAAATATCGTAATAACCGATGTCGAGCAACCTAATTCGATCATTCCAAAATTCGTTCCAATTTTGCATGCTTTTCACACACACATATACATAGATCGATCATGATCATCCTCGAATCTCAACGATACGTAACAATTCATCGTAACGACACGTTGCATGCACCTGTTCTTTCCTCGACCCCCGCAGACATAAATCAAACGATTGATAAAACGAATCTGTACAGGCGTGTGATTCGTGTCTCTTCCAAAAAGCATGTTTCTCTGTGTGTATTTTTCTTTCCCACTAGTGTGAGCGTGTGCGCTGTTAGTACCGCCACGAGAACGTTAGCTTAGCGCCGAAAGGTGTGTGTTTTTGTTTCCAAAAGACGAAGGCAACAGAAAATGATTCTGTCTGATTTACATTAGCATCGCGACTGGGGTTGCGGTCTGGCAGCCGAGGACGAGGCTTCGCTGTGGAAACGAGTCTCCAGTAACCACGCTCTCAACGCGCTGTCCCTTGCCAGGCCAGTACACTACTCCACTCTCTCTTTCTCTCTCTCTCTCTGTCTCTCTCTCTGTCTCTCTCTCTGTGAAACATCAATCTTTCTGTGTCACTTGACGATCGAAGTCGAGCCTGTGTATACGGTGCTCGTTTCGTGACGCGGCCGAGTAGAGATAGAGGTAGAGGAGGATCGATGGTAACTTCAAATGAAAAGAAACACGACGACCATTGGCTGTACGAACGAAGAACAATACGAAAGTAATATACGTATAAGTGTAAGAGCTGAGGAGGAGGCCTTTGACTACTATTTAGAAAAAAAAAGAAAGAAACGTCTGACTATTATTATTTCACAGCACTTAACTAGATATTTCTTCTTTACGAAAGAAGAAAGGATTTGCAATTTTCTTCGATTTCCAATATTCGTACGGTCGTATCGGATTAAGTAGTATAGGTGTATATACATATAGAGCGAGCGTTTACGAGCGTCTGACTAGATACGGTTAGATTCTACTTAGATACAGATCTCACTTGGAATTGTAAGGGAGGATATAATTCGGCAAAAGAACTCTATCAGACACTTTCATTCATACACACACTCTACTTACTACTCGGGCCATGCTAAAAGCTAGAGAATCAAAGAAAAAAAAAGAGAATGTAAAAGAGTCAAGCGTAGTTGTACAGGGACGAATTGTTCGAAATCTTCACACGGGTTTTGTGTCGTAGCTGCCTTTTATTTCTTCCGTGCGATTGTGCCTCGCGCAGAAAACTGCCAGTTCGGAAAAAGCCTGTGACGAGTGATTGCGTATTTAGGTCAGTGACGAAGGAAGAAAAAGAGAAGGAGAACACGAGGAAGGTCGCTCCGGTTACCACTACGACGACCATGCCTGCTGCAGGCCGGCCATCTTCCGTTCAGGCTAGACCTGTTCATGGAATATTGCAGGACGATTCGAAAGCGGTACGTTCGCCGTTCGAAATCCTAATTGAGCCACTCGAAAGCCGAAACTGACTAAGTGACGTTAAATTTCCTTTATTTCGGAGAAATTAAGCGCCGAACGTGTGCTTCGATAGTAAAATCGGAAGAATATCGAAAACTGGAGTTGACCATTTTAGCTTCCGAATGGCTCAATTAACCCTTTGCACTCGGAGGTTATTTTTCTAAAATTAACGTAAAAACAAACCGTACTATTTTACTTAAATATTCAACGTACTCTCCATTTCACTATGGCAATCAAATTTATAGAGGGCCCATAGATCTGGTCTCTAACTTGATCAATTATTTACCAAGCGACGGTTATTTAACGTCGCCACTCGATTGCAAAGGATTAACACTTCCAGCACAGGACTGTTTTTCAGTGTCACTGGGAATCTTTCTTTTACGAGGAGAGATAAAAAATTCGCGGAATTTAAAGATGTACACCGCTGCATTGACTCTTGCTTCGATTCAGCCTCGTGACGACGAATCCAAGTTTCATCTCCGGTAACAACTCGATGCAAAATTTCCTCTCTGTCATCTCCACGGAGATCTGAAGAATTCCGCGAACTTTTTGACTAACCTTCGTACCATAATTCAACGACAGGAAGGACGAAACTTTTCACTTTAATACCACGTCGAAAGAATCGATAAAATTGAAAAGAAACTGCATCTGATAGTAGTTGAAACAATACTAAAGTAGAATATTCTCCTTGAAATGCGACGAAACACCAACCTAACTCACCCAAGCGAAAAAATATCGGAGCGTCGTTGTAAATTTGAAAACGTCTCAAGATCCGTTAATTGAAAAGAATAACAGTCACGGATGATTTTGCTGTGTAACAATTCTAAATTGTCCTACAGGACACCGAAAGAGCCATGTCTCACGCAAGAAAGGATTTCTTGATCCGCCACCATCTGGATCGTACTACTGGCGTGGGTGAGTAAACGCAGAAAAAGAATTGTTACAGAGGAGAATAACTGGCGTGTTAAATGAGTAAAGTAATGCGTGTATTGTGTAATTAGGCGACGGTGCACTGCTTCCCTCTCCCACGAGAGAGAAGCTGGAGCCTGCGATACCACGACGTCGAGAGGACACGAAGGAACATCGCGAAGAGATACAGCCTAAGACAAAGTCCAGCCCTAAGAACAGTCCAAGAACCGGTCGTTCACAGAGTCTTGGTCCTACCGTGACTGAGCGTCGATCGCCTAAGCGTCAACCACCGCGTGCACCGTCCGTCACTAAAGATGCTAAGGTATTTCGTCGAAGAAATCTACACGCGTGTTATTCTTCGTTTCGGTTTTACAGCCAACAACTGTACGATTCGCCCGTTCCTTTCTGTCTTACTTCACTAACTCGACTTGTTCCTTCGATCACTATCCTTCCTTTTGTTTTTCAATGCAATTCTCGTGCCCTTATAACTTCTCTATCCGTCTGCGTATAAATCTCACTTTCTCCCACGAAGAAACCCATATTAACCCTTCCGACCCGACGGCGTTTGCAGCAGTTCGCTTCCTACGGCCGACGTGAAATTTAACCCTAAATTGAGCCCTAAACATATCGAATTGTTTATTAAGTATTTGAGTCTTTGACAATATTGTGATTTTAATATACCGTATTCGGTATTGTACTGAATAATTAAGAAAGCGGTGACACATTCTCAGAGTCGGTACGCGGTACCGATGTCGGGTCGGAAAGGTTAACACCCAACTACACAATTTTTATACGATGAAATTTAGTCGGTCTTTAAGATTCAATGACATGTAAGCTCGAAAGAGAAAAAAAAAAAAAGCGGTAGACGCGAAGGTTGATTTTTCGCTCGATTCGTCACAAAGTGGAGAGATCGAGGATTATCGATTATTCCGGTGACCTTTTTGTTTAGGAAAAAGAGAAAGAGCCGAAGGACA